AGCTTCTTATTATTCGTTTATTTCTTTATTTTAATGTTTTTTTGTTTTTTGATTTTGCACAGACTTTCTCCTCTGCGAGTTAGTGATGCGCGGAATAACACTGAAATGCTAAGCAACTAACCATGCGGCAAACTGTTAGCCGGCTGGTGGACTAAGTAGAAAATACATATGTATGTATGTAGGTACTCATATGCATGTACGGTGACGAAAATATAAATAGGCACGCGACATTATAAAGTCCAAATTTTAAACTTTGCACAAAATTGGGAAAATACAATAAACTGCAAAAAAAAATCATCAAATTTTCGAACTGTTTTAAAATAATGAAAAAAATGGGATGTAGTTTTTATGTAAAGTGAAACTTTGGAGTGTGTGTTTTTTGGCAATTTTTATTTTTTTTTTTACGGTGCTTAGCATTTTTTCCAGCGCTAGTTCGGCAATTTTTTTATATGGAGCAAATGGGCAGCACGTTCAACAAAAAAAATGCCAAAAAACAACGGTATGCTACTTAAAACTTCAACTATACTAAAATTAAATGGGCTACAAAACTGCATACTCAAAATTTTTCTAAGAAATCCAATTAAAAACTCGAAATTTTGATTAAAATTTGTCGAATTTTCTTAATTTTTGTACTAAGTTTGAAATTCAGCCTACATAATTTTTGTTTTGACAACTAGTTATACTTTCATAAAAAAAACAATAATAAAAATATTAAATAGCTACAAGTAATTTTCAAGCAAAAAACCAAACCGACTTCAATTCTCGTATAAAAATTTAAGATTATCGTTAATCTCTTCATGATCCAATGATGGGATTTAAACCAAATTAGTATGGGACCACCTGTGAAGTACCACCTTTCCTTTAAAAAAAAAGAAAAAAAGAATTATAGAAATAGGTTAACGTGGTCCAATATGATGCGGTAACATACATAAAAAAAAAAATATTCCGACGAATTGATAACCTTCTTTTTTTGTGAAGTCGGTTAAAAAGGAAAAATTACCAAAATTTGTTAAAATGTCGCGTAACTATTAATATTTTCACCACTGTATGTACTCGTACATAAATATGTATGTACTTATGCCTGCAATGTAGCCCGAAACACGGCAGCGGTCCGGTTAATGACCGTGAAAATATTTTTGATGTTTTCCATATGTTAGCGAAAGAGTACAATAGAGAAAAAACTATGAAAAATTGAGCTGCATTAAGCGTTAAATAGCGCTGTAAATTGGCGCAACATTGCGAGGACAAGTTCGACACGTTCGTCAGTGAAGCCACCGTGCGCCAAGCGAGTAAGTTTCTGTATATCGGCATCTAAGCGCACTAACGCTGTGCACAAGTTCAGCAGCCTTATTTCTAGCTTCGAGCCAGTTTTCGGTACCTAAATATGTTTGCCTTCATATGGATTTACTTCTCTGGTACCTACCGGTGCAGGAAATTAGGTGCATTAAACTTGTCCAACTCCAGGCGAACAGACCACAACAGCAATCAAATGAACCAAAACTTATAAAAAAAAGTAGTTAAAAAAACCAATTACCTGCACCTAACGAAATTAATGAAATTAAGTTGTAAAATGATTAGCTACACGTACATACATACATAAATGCAGTTATGGCAAAATTACAATTTTTTAAGTTTTAATTACTTATTAAATTAAAAAAGTAATTGATAATGGAAAATACATATATTTTTATAGCATAAACGCTAAAATTTATGTTAGCTCTTTGTCGCTGACTGTGCGCTTTGGTGCAAAAAGTCGTAAAAATATAATTATAAGTTAATAGAAAATGTATTACTTAATTCAAAATAGTTGTACTTAGTAGACATGTAGTTTTTTAATGTTTTAATATATGTATAAATATAGATATTATTTCTTTGCACCACCGGAGCTAATATGTATGAAAATATTTTGTTTTTATTAAAAACTGGGTACTTTTAGTCCTTACGCTCGAAAGTAGTGAAGCGACACAGAAAAACTTCCAGATTGAAAAGTTTGCAATGAACGAGGAGTTATTTTCCTACACACATACATACATATTTACTAAATATTACTTAGTATTTCATTTAGTTACATTTTCATTTGTCTTTGTCTTTTCCTTAATCTTAATCTTAACTTTAATCTTAATTTTAATCTTAAACATAACCTTAATCCAAGTCTTAATCTTACTCTTAAGCTTAATCTTAATCATAATCTTGACCTTAGTCTTAGTCCTATTCTTAATCATAATTTTAATCCTAATCTTACTCCTTATTTTAGTTTTAATCTTAGTCTTAATCTTAATCTTAAACTAAATATTAATCTTAACCTCAGTCTTAGTAGTAATTTTTATATTAATCTTAATTCTTATCCTAATTTCAATCTTAGTCCTAATTTTAATCTTAACCTTAATCTTAGTTTTAATCTTAATCTTAATAATGATTTTAGTCTTAAGCTCTTCTAATCCCAAGCTCTCTAATCTTAATCCTTATCTTAATCTTAATCTTAATCTTAATAATAATCTTAATGTTAATGTTAATCCCAACCTTAATTTAAATACTCATCTTCACCTTAACCCTAATCTTAATCTTAATAGACTTAATATTAATCTTAATCTTAGTCTTAATCTTAATTTCAATCTTAATCTAATTCTTAGTCTTAATCTTTATCTAAATCTTGAACTTTGTCTTACTTTTTATCTTAATCCTAATCTTAATTGTAATGTTAACCCTTATCTTAATCTTAATCCTAATCTTTATCTCAATCTTTATCTTAATTTAATCTTACTCTCAATCTTAATCTTAATTTTAATCGTAGTCTTTATCTTATATTTAATCTTAGTCTACTGTCAATTTCAATCTTAATCTTAACCTTAATCTCATTAGTTAACACACTTTCCGCAGTTTGAATATGCTTTGAAGTGGGTTGCCACCCGTTTGAAAAGTCGAATTTATTTCGCTTATACACATGTTAAACATTGAGATATTAGTGTCAAACATAAGAGTTTTAAGAAAACTTTAGCTTGAACCTAACTTGAACCTGACTACCTATTTCATAGCTCAAAGAAGTAAGGTTACGTTGGGTTAGGTTAACGCCCCGAGCCGATTACCAAATTTCGAATGCGGCTCATTTCGATCCCTGAAAGCTCAGTGTGAGTTCAGAAGAGCGAGCCAAAATGCTTCCATCTTAGGCACGCGAAGGTTGGACAGTCTAAAAGAAAGTTTGGAGATGATTCCACTTTATCTTCCTCTTGACAGCTGATACAAAGGAATCAGTTGAAATTCCTAGTCTTACCGAGTGAATGTCAATCGAACAATAGCCTATCATAACCCCCATCACTAGCTCTTGAGAGGTAACGTGGTATTCGGCATCTTTAAGGGATAAAGATGGGTCACTCATTACTTGCGCTACAAAAAGTATTTTAAGGTGCCTTATAAAAACGTTTGCTGTAGTCTTCTTTTCCGCTTTTATGTCACAAAAGGAACATCGCTTTCTTTTGTCCATTTTATTAGGTATTTAGTAGAGTACGCAATTTCCAGCCATCCAAGAGTGTACCGCAGCGGGACAGAGGCGTTCCTAGTTGCCCCTTATCTGGGGATAACATTTTAAGGGTGCCTTTCCAACGCCAGATCATCAGCCACGCAGTTTTCCGTGATGTCACTGTGACCCGGAACCTAAACTAGAAGAAGTACTCTGACGCGATGGCTAAAGAAGTCAGATATTCCTTTACCGATTTCTAATGCACCATCACACCCCTTAGCAGTGAGTCTACCGCTTCCTTGATGGCAGCTATTTCCACCTGAAAGACACTGCAGAAAACCGGAAGCCTTAATAACCCCGCCCTACCCAGTCCTCTCTTGAGGAAATATATGTAGGTAGAGAAGGAGCTTCTGGGAGGCATTTCGGAGGCGCTGTAATCTATGTGTTCACGGCGAAGTCAAAGCCCAGAACTCCAGAGTTTTACCACCCGGTTTCCTTTAGCCTTTAGGTGTGGTTCCTAAAGCTCCACTAATTCCTGTTTTAAAAGTGTAGTTTTCTCTTGCGGGTTCCACCAGACAAGGGATCCGTGAAACAAGATAAGCTTAAATCTGGTTCCATAGAGCTAATGAATTATTTTGGGCGAGAGACTTTACCTTTTATCGATAGCTCCCCTACAGCAGTACAAGACAACCCACGCCTTTTTCACAGCTTCCTATCCAGGATATAGCCTAAGTAATTGGCCTTGTGTGAGAGCCGCAGACGAACAACCCCTTTCGAGCGAAGGGCCACAACGGTTATATTGTACTCTGGAGTGACATTGTTGAAGGCCCCTCGATATCTAGGAATGCCCCTACAGCATGAACACTTCCTCTGACCACTTTAGCAATGTGTGGAGGGTGGTATCCACCGACCTTGCAATAAGCATGTTGAGCTCTTGAAAGTTAGTCACGAGGAATCCCGTTTCTTATGTACAGGCCTATCCATCTCTCTAGCGATTTTAGCAAAAACGAAAACAGACTGATAGGCCTAAAATCCTTAGGAGAAACATAAGAGCCTTTTCCGGCCTTCGGGATGAACGCAACATTGACCACCCTCCAAGCCTTGGGCATGTACCCGTTTCTCACGCAGTTCGCAGGTATGATGCCATCGGTCCCCGGCGACTTTAATGGTTTGAACGAATTTATCGCCCAGGCCATTTGACGATCGTGCAAAAGATCGAAGAACTACAGGACCTGAAGTACAAAATATTGCAAAGAAGTACATTTGACTGTACTTCGAAGTACGAAGTACAAGAGCTAAAAAATAAGTATATACTTAAGTGCTTAAGTGCACTAAATCGTGTGCAGTGGAAGTAAATGCTGTTAAACGGAATGTACTGTATAGGGATTGGATAGTGGCATCCATTGACACATAACACACTTTTATCATTTAACTAAAGATTTTCAAAACACAAATTTTTAGTTAGCTGTAAAAACGGTGCTTATTTATTATAAACAAATTTTTATTATTTCTTCACTTAACTTCCATTTTCACTTTAAATTTCCAGCGTTCCCATCTTCAAGAACCTCCCCGAGGATACGCTCATCAAAATTTCAGATGTGCTCGAAGAGACCCACTACCAAATGGGTGATTATATTGTACGTCAAGGCGCACGCGGTGATACCTTCTTTATCATATCGAAGGGACAAGTGCGTGTGACGATCAAACAGCCCGACACGCAAGAGGAGAAATTCATACGCACACTCATCAAAGGTGATTTCTTCGGTGAGAAGGCATTGCAGGGGTGAGTGCATACGACAGCCAACAATATAATGGCAAATATTTATGAAAATTGGTGAAATAACAACTAATTTCTAATTATGCGTTTTTATCATTCTCTTTTTCGTTTTTCGCACAGCGATGACTTGCGTACAGCAAATATTATATGTGATTCTGCCGATGGCGTTACTTGCCTGGTGATCGATCGAGAGACGTTCAACCAACTCATTTCGAATTTAGATGAAATTAAGCATCGTTACGATGATGAATGCATAGTAGAGCGTAAAAAGTAAGTCGACGAAAGTGCAACATTGCGCTCATCCGCTGCGCTAATTCATGCAGTGCCGCCAACATGCATTTGCCTCTGATTTTTTTTCTGCTACTAATTTTCCACTTTTTTTCTCTTACTTATTTGCGTAGAATTAATGAGGAATTCGATAATGTGAAACTGACCGACTTGCGTATCATCGCCACACTTGGTGTTGGTGGTTTCGGTCGTGTCGAACTGGTGCAAATTAACGGTGATAATAGCCGCTCGTTTGCGCTGAAACAAATGAAGAAGTCACAAATTGTCGAGACACGCCAACAGCAGCACATTATGTCCGAAAAGGAAATTATGGGCGAGGCCAATTGTCAATTCGTTGTGAAATTGTTCAAAACATTTAAGGATCGCAAATATTTGTATATGCTGATGGAAAGTTGTCTGGGTGGCGAGTTGTGGACAATATTGCGTGATCGTTGTAA